ACATCTGAGTGACGACGAGGAGCCGGGCATGTATATATCAGGGAAAGAGCAATTGGTTCAGACGGAAAAAACAACTAGGTGTGTTCAAGGTACTAAAGACGACCAGGGATGGCCTGAATGTGGGGAAATTGGAGAAAGGCTGTGAGAATACGTAAGAGTGGATCTTACAAGACTTTGGAATCTGACATAAAGGGTGTTTGGATTTTACTATAAATGAAAATTAGGGGGACTTGTTGGGATGCATAATGTTTGGTGGTGAGAAGACTAGGCAAGGTGATTTCTGCCTGACCAGCATTTGAGATCCACTGCTTTAAACTCTCTTTATGTAGTGGTGTATTCCCCCTATCCCCAAAAGATCATAATTAAACGTTCCCTTCACAGTGGTACCCAATGGGCTGAAACAATTTGGTGTAGTACAGGGTATATCCATTGATGCTTTCAGGCAGGTACTGAAGTTTGGAAAGCAGTCATAAGTAATCTTGATTATTTAAGGACAGTTATAAATCCATCTTCAAAACTTAGAATTACTGTAAACTATTTTTGTGTCATTCACTCTTCAGGAAACAGGTTTCAGCCACTAAGGCCGAAGCAGAAAAGGATGGAGTAAAGGTCCCCACCACCCTGGCGGAATACTGCATCAAAACTAAAGTGCCTTCCAATGACAACAGCTCAGATTTGCTTTATGACGACTTATATGATGACGACATTGATGATGAAGATGAGGAAGAGGAAGATGCCGACTGTTATGATGATGATGATTCTGGGAATGAGGAGTCGTGACATGCTCTTTCAATGCCCCTGTACTGCCCTGCCATCTCAGGCCAAAGGGAGGGGAGCAAGAGGGGACCTAGCAATGGCCCCTCAGCAAAAACCTATTCACAGGGGGTGGGGAAAACAAACACAGCTCCTGCTGACTCCCCTTATGGATCTCAGTTTGCTCCTTTTTATGGACCTTAAATGGAGAGAGAGTAACCCTACACAGAATGTCTGAATTCTTGCATTCTTTACCCTTCCATCACTGTATTGATTCTTTTTTTTTTTTTTTTTTTTTAAAACAACAACATCATCAACCCAAACTCCCGCCTCACTTCGTCTTGACAGAATGTTCACGGCAAAACACGTTTGGTCTGTTTTTAGATTCTTGAGGAATTAAATAGTCTTTCAAGACGTTTAATGTGTTTAAAGCTGGGAACCTCTTGGGAGTTGACAAATGCTGCATATGCTGGGTAGCAAAAGAAAATGGAAAAAAAAAAACCCTACAAAACAAAGTTCAAAAAAAATTTGCCAAGGTTTAGCTGCTCATTTACATTAGTGTGTGCACATTCGTTCAGCCCCATGGTGGTGAATTTTGTTTCTTTCCCTTCCTAAGGCTGGGATACAGTGAGCGTCAGGGACTTTGTGCTAAGCCTGATGAGATGTGCTCCTTCAGCCTCCATGAAATCATCCTAATGTGGAGCCCTCGGCTACTTTGAGGAAAGAAATCAGATTTTGCTTTTTGAAATCGATTGGGATCTGAAGCCTGAAATAAATATTCATACTTTACATAGAACTGAGCACTTGGTTGCCATTTATTTTAAAATTTAAAGGCAGGGTTATTTTTCCCCCCAGGGAGTGGGGCGTGTGGGGAAGAAGTGGGGATTAGTGTATGTGTGGACTCTGAGGGATGGAAATAAAGAGTTAAAAATCACGATGCCAATTTTGGTTGATGCTGCTGGGGGGAAAAATTCAAAACTGGTGACCACTGTTGGGAGAGGAAACATCTGTTTTATATACTTAACATGGCCTTCCCCTCAAAGATAGATACACTCTCACCACGAGGTTTTTTCAAAAAGTAGTCACTTTTAATTACTCAGTATTAATCCTAGGTGCATGTATTAAGATTTCAGTTTTCATCGAGCTGCTTATACTGACAAACATGGATGTGTGAGAGACATGAGTGACCAGTTCTCACATTCTTTGGAAGTGATCTGGACTTTTTTTCTCCTTTCAATGTAGTTTGGTTGTGGAGCGCAAGCAGAAATAAGTGCGTTGAGCTCCTCATGGGTGTGTCTCTTCTGGCAGGGTCAAGGGAGTTGACTGCAGGCAGTTTCCAGTCTCCAGGCAGGCAAGGCTCAGAGATCTTGCCATACAGTCACTGCAGCTTTGATTTCCCAGGTCTCAATCATGTGTTGCTTCAATCAAATACTGAGATCCAGCAGCCTTCAGCATCCAGGAACTTCAAACTTGAAGGTGATTTTTGGTTGTTAACGGGAGTGTGTCAATTCATAGGAGGGCGTTGTTCTTTAGGGAAACCGCTATAATGTAAAGTCAGATTTCAGAAAGAAAATACAGCAAGGACTGACTACAGTCCTACTTGAGATCCCCGTGCACTAGTGTCAGCTCCTTTTTCTTCAGATCATAACTCAGAACCAAAGGGCAGATTAGGGACAGGGGTAGGATGGATCCTAGGATGGTCAGAATAAATGATGCTTACTTCCTTAGCTCCTCCTTCCTTTCTGATCTCAGGGTTTTCATTCACTCTTTAAACTTACCCAACATATGCTGACTACTTCCCAGCAGCCCTCTCTAGCCTCTAAAGTTTGCTATTAAATGGGAATATTTAACACGCTAAGGTTCTTAAGGGACACTATTGAGCCTGGTCCCAGAATCTCTACATAATCTCTGTGGGGTCAGGGCTGCTACTTGCACCCTAAATCTTTTAATTCCTGTCAGATACATAGGACAGAGCAGTTCTGTAATGTGCTCTTAAGTTGTCTGACTATAAACTTTCATAGAAGGATATTGTACCTACCTTTTTACTCCCCACACTTCTCAAGTAATGCTTCCAGATAACCTGCAAATCTTCTGGAGCCAAAGCCTCTTATAGTACTGATTTACCTCCCTACCCCCACCCCCTACACACACACGCACACACGCACGCACGCAAGTTTACAGCCAATAGCTTGGTCTTATTCTCTTGGAGCCCTAAAATTAAACCTTTCATTCCCCTTACTAATGCATCTCACACCTAGGGTAGGCCAGGCACCATGGCATTGTGGGAGGTGCTGTGCTGCTCAGCTCTGTCACATTAGGCCCTGTTGGCCTCTATTGCACGTTGACTCAGGGAGCCAGAGCACCAAGTGGAGGTTGTACCTCTCAGCCCTTTGTGGTGTTACTATTGGGGGCTGGGTTTGCCTCTGATGAGTACAATCAATTCCAGAAGACTGGGGTGTGTTGACTTGGTAGGCAGGTAGACATTCTGATAGTTTAGACTTATAAAACCCAGATGCTGGTTCCAGAGCTCTGTCCCTGAGAACACATCCTGTGGAAAAATACTTGAGTATGTAATTTTTATTTTTGGGAGTGAGGTCTCAGGCTTAAGGCAGACCCTTATGAGCACAATTGTGCTGATTAAATTTGGTGTGACGTGAACTCAAAATCCTGCATTTTTAGATTCCTTTTAATTCTAATTGAGGCCTCACTGGATGCACTTCAGTTCTGTGTATCTTGAGGCTGGGTGGAGTATCACGATTCCGTTGTTGCTTCTCTGAAAGTCTTCCCTCTGTCCTTTTTCTTATCATTCCGGAGTTCTTTTCTATTAGCCAAACTTTTTTGTAGTCCATTCTTTCAACCTGCCCTGGCAATCTGCTTCTTTGCTTGCTGGTTTCCTTATGTTTGGGGCATATTTAGTAAGAGATTGGATGGGGAAAGTGTGTAGTTCTCCACCGAAAATTAACTCTCCACCCCTCCCACCCTGATAAACAAGGTTTACATTTACAACTAAACAGATTCAGAGATGCAATTTTCAACTATTCTGAAACCAGCAGGACACACCTGACTTTAATAGTTTTCTTAGCTGAAATTGTAGATGTTTTTCTTCAGTTTAACTTATGAGAAAAGATTATCTGATGCATTTTGTGTTGACTTCCCTTTTAGTGGTTTATTTTTGTCTTTTTCTGCCCATCTGTCTACTAATAAAATGTGAAATAAAATATACCTGTATTGCTATTTCCCCACGGGATGACCCTCTTCATTTCCTTGTGTTAAAGAAAACTAAAAGGTGTTCTTGATATTTTCACTGTTATATCACAGATTGATGATTCCCAGGACTCAGCACAAACTGGCTGATCTGCCTTTTATAACTTTCTGTCCAACCCACCTCCCTGGAGAATCACCCCCAACTTAATGTGTTTTTAAGGAAGGTTCCTTCAAAGGAAGCTTTAAGTGGGCATGTTTTAAAACTTCTGAAATCGGGCAAAATCAGCTGAATGTATGGGTCCTTTTTGCTGCCCTCCTTAGGCAAACATTTTATTTTCATTAGGAATCAAAGATCCCAAGCTGTGCATTAGCGGGAGCATGCACTTCATCTGATGAAATGGCCACAGCTCCGGACTGTAGATGCCAAAAGCAGAAAAGGAAAAGACTGACCCCCAGGTTGGTTCTGACATGTTGACTTGACCAGTCTTTGACTTGAAGCTGCACTCGTTTCCTTATTTAGCCTCATCAGAAGTGGCAATATGGGAAATGATTGCACCTTGGGCAACACTGCCCTGAGCTGTCTGCTAGGTAGGAGCAGAGTTGCGGACAACCAAGAGGATCTGCCTAATGACTGTGGTTCTTGCCGCCCACCCCCCTGGACTACCTGGTGTAACAGCCTAACTCACTAGTCATCTGTTCTACCTTAGCCCTTGCCTGACAATCAAGGTTGTTTGGTTTATGAACAGCAAAGGATAGACATATGCATTCTCTCTCGGGCCTAGAACTCTGCTCTCAGTTCCTGGCTTTGCTTCAGATTTTAAAAGTCAGTCGGGACTTGGAAAAGAAACTACCTTGCCCTGGTACACCTCTTGACAGGGCTCTGTGAGAAGGTTTAGCTGTCTTTTCACTTATCATTTCAGCCTAGACAAGGGTCCATGAAAGAGAAATAACCAATTCAAGCCTTTATAGCCTGATGGCAGTATACTGAGCCATGTCAGCCCTGCTCTGAGCTGTCCCTCAAACATACCACACAAGAGACTGTGCATGCTCTCACAACTTTATTAGGTGGAGTTTGGGCAAGAGAAAACCCTGAAACTGTTGCCCACCTGGTGCAGGACAACTGGAATACAGAAGCCTTTGCTTGGAGATTTGTTTTAAAGGGAGGGAGCTAACTGGCTGATCATCTCTGAGCCCCAGTTCAAATTTTTCAAGGTCAGCCAGAGGAAAGAAAGTCTCTGGGGACAAAAGCAGAAGCCCCTGCTCTGTATGAAGACAAACAGGTACCCAGATTTATTTGCGGTGGAGGGATATCAAAGAGGACCATAAAAAATGACAAAAGGGCCAGTTTCTTTAAAACAGAGGTATAAAGTAAAGTATAAAGTAATTACACAGGACAGAAAAATAATGGTTTATAAAGGAAGGAGATAAGTCGTGATTCTTCATTGGTACCTGGCCCCAATACCCAAACTGTCTTGAATCAGCCCTTCCAGAAACTGTCCCTAGCAGCCCACTGGGCAGGCAGGGACCTATGTAGAAGGTCTCAAGGCAGAAAAGGATTGGGGGGAGGGGTTATTTTGCTACAAAGAGGAAAGGGGGATTGAATGGGGAGAACAGACCTGGCCAAAATGCAGCTGCACCCCCACTCCCCCACGCTTGTCACATTTACAAATACATACATAAATACATTACATACAATGGCCAGTCTGGGAGGCAGGCTCCCCACAGAGGCTTGGCTGATGGTACATGTCTCAGGGAACAGTGGGAAAGGGCACTGGGCTCTCAGAAATGTGCTCCATGTTCTCTCCTGCCAAGGGTAAGTCCTGCCCCACTGTCTTAGTTTGTCCAGTATGGAGAGTTGCCGTAGGTGGGTTTGGAAGCCTGAGACTTGGGCTGCAGGGAGCTAGGCTGGCTTCGCTGACCTGAGCCGCTCTGAGGAGGAGAGAAGGTTGTCAGGGCTGGAGAGCAGAGCTCCCCGCCCAGGGTGGCTGCCCCCATTGCTGCACTCACCTGGGCATCCTGTGGAAGGTGATGGTGCAGCAGCTGTGAGTGGTGCTGCTGGTGGGCTGGCAATATATGCAGGAACGGTGGGGGTGCATAGCCAGGGGCTGCTCCAGGGGCCAACGGCCCAGCGGAGCCCAAGGCTGAGGGTAGGCTGAACGGTGGAGGAGTCCCTGCATGAAATCCCTGCTTATCAAAATTCTAAAGGCAAAGAAGACAATGGTGAAGGGTCAGTTTTTGCTGTACCTCCTGACAACCTGCACACCCTCCTCTGTCCTCACCTGATTCTTGTTGTAGACAGAACCAGTCATATCGGGTAAGCCAGTGGTGCTTGAAGATACTGATACTCCTAGGAGGAAAAGCAGTTGGTCCTATCTCCAGGGTCCCCCAATTCCAGGGGTACTCAGGGGTAGCCCTGCCTGAAAAGGGGGTCAGGTAGGAAGAGACAACTACTCCGGGCCACAATCCTGGATAGGAGAGGTGAACACTACCTTTGCTGGGCCCAGAACCTGCAGACTTGGTTGGTGTCTGTGATGATCCACCATAGCTGCCTTTGGTGTAGTCTCCCGCTGCTGTCCCCTGGGTCAGGTCATCATAACCTAGCACAGCATGGTACAAGAGGCATGTGTGAGCCAGAAAAGCCTGTCTTACCCTGTGTCTCAGTGTGGGGAGCACCCTTCACCTGTGCCGTAGCTGTGCTGGCCATAACCCCCGGCCTGCTGGAAAGGAGTGGTAGGGGTGCTGAGGTTCACACCATGCTGCTTGGCTGAGGCTGGAGGGACCTGGCAGGGCAAGCAGATGAGGCATCAGTGTAGGAACAAGGAAACGTGGAACAGATCAGATACCCCGACTTAGCCTCAGGCAGGAGGTTAAGGGGACCTGTGCTTCATTATTAGTGCAACACATGCATGAGACTGAGTAGGGCTATGGTTCTCCCTCCCTGCTTCTGCTCCCAGGAGCTGGAAGGTAGGTCCCAGGTTTCAACCTTCCCATGACCCAAGGCCGGGAAGAAGAATCAGACCCCCCCACAAATACTCACAAATACAGGAGGCCCATATTGGAAGCCACCAGGCATGCCTGTGTAGTAGGGAAGGCCAGCGTAGCTGTAGCCAGGTGGCAGCGCAGGATTCAGAAAGGGCTGCTGGGCTGTGTGGTGGGTCTGGGATTGGCTCTGCTGTGGCTGAGCAAGTGTAGTAGTTGGTGCAGGTGATGCAGAGTCACCACGGCCAAATTTTGTAACATCACCTAGAAGAAAAAGTGTTGTGTTGGGTTATCACCCCTATCCAACCAGGAAAAAGTCCAGCTTGGCTCCTGCAAATAAGAATAGGTCTTGCTTTCCAGCTCAGTATGGGCAGCTTTGAGGCCTCTCAGCTCTTATGTTTCTGTTTTCTAGAAGCTGGGATTAGTTACAGGTCAGCCACCCACTGAATTCACTCACCTGAATATGGATTATTAGCTAGGCTTCCATCTCGGCTGGCAAGGGCCGTGGGTGCAGCGAAGGGAATCCCATAGTAATCCTAGGAGGGACCAGGGAGGCTGAATCAGCAAGTGGACTCACCCCACTCCCAAAAAAGTAGACCCAGCACGTAAAACTCTCGGTCAGAGGTCCTCAAACTTTTTAAACAGGGGGCCAGTTCACTGTCCCTCAGACCACTGGAGGACCGGACTATAATTTAATAAAAAAACTATGAACAAATTCCTATGCACACGTCATGTATCTTATTTTGAAGTAAAAAAACAAACTGGCAAAAACACCTACATGTGGCCCGTGGGCTGTAGTTTGAGGACACCTGCTCTAGGTGATGCCATACTTCAAGACGGGCCACACACCTAAAAGGCAGCACTCATGGAGAACTCCAAGTACATGGTGCCTAATGGAGGTTGCAACAAGGCAGCCTGCTTAGCTGGCTAGCACACAGACTGACCAACCCTGCAGCCTTCACCAGGCAGAGCCATTGGAAGCCCAACCTCACACATCCATTTTTATATCACAGACGGATGTTTGTGAATGACACAGACTAAATCAACTTTGCTAGCTATCCCTGTGTGAGACTAACCAGCAGCTAGGAAAGTTGACCAAACAGAGCAAACCTGAAAAAGGACATAGCAGGAGAGGAGGTGCCTAAAAAGTAGGTTGAAAAGGGGAAGCAGTGCCAGGTAGGCACAGGTACACATAGGACCCAGATGAGGCCTCAAACTGGCCCATTACTCCCTACCTCTGCCCTAGCAATGCTGACACTACACACCACCCAGGGTAAGTCTGACAGATCCAACAGTTTGGAGAAAATTGACCCTTATATACACCTCCAGGGCCTCACAGTCCCAAACATATGGCTTCTGAGCAAAGAAAAAGCCCTCAGGCTGCCTAAAACCCCTGGCCAACAATGCTGGGTCACAGCCAGACAAGGCCATCCTGGCTAGAAATGGCACTCACACCCTTCTCTGGACATACAGCTAACCTCCAGGAAACCCACAGCACCCATAGCATCCCCAGGAGGACATAGGGCTGGGAACAGGCACAGAGAAAGCCCAGGAGGGGGAGCTCTTTCATCCAAAGGAGAACATCTGAAGGTGGGAACTAGGCACTAAAAAAGGCTGAGGGGCATGGTTTTCAGTGCCTGTAGTCCTAGTGGAACCTTTGCCCACCTCGGCCCAAAAGACACTTTATGGTATTTTCAAGGCTGAGTAAACAACCTCCATGTCACTCTGTTGCCTGGGCTGAAATGCAGTGGCACGATTACAGCTCACCACAACCTCTAAATTGGGGACTCATGTGATCCTCCTGCCTCAGCCTTCTGAATAGTGGGACTACAGATGCGCATCACCACATCCCACTAACTTTTTCTGTTTTAAGTAGAGACAGGGTCCTGCTCTTGCTCAGGCTGGTTTTGAACTTGTAGCTTCAAGTGATCCTCCCATTTCAGCCACCCAAAGTGTTGGGATTACAGGCGTAAGCCACCGTGACCAGCCTAGTTTTTCTTTTTAAAAGAGAGAAAGATGAGGGAAAATAAGGACAAACATTTAGTAGGGGACATGGTGTACTGGGGCCGCAGGTACCAAAGGCCATCATGTTCCCCAAGGATGAGCATAGGACCCTGACATGCCAAAGCTATGGTTGTACCAGGCACAACCACCAAATGGTAACAGCTTGCTTTGGCGGTGGTGCTGAGGAGGTTTCTTAGGCCACAGATTCTAAGGGCCAGATAGGGCAGCAGTCAAGAGTAAGGGAGGAACTTGCTATTCCACCTTCTGCTATGTGAGGACACAACAGGAAGACCTGAACCAGGCCAAAGGCCCAGCCTCAACAGCCTACAGAACCATGGGAAATAAATTTCTGTAATTCAAAAAAAAAAAAAAAAGACCAAGGGAAGAGGGACATAAAGAGTCTGACCCCTACTGCTCCCACCATGCCACACCCCACACTCACCACTGGCAGCCGTGACTGCAGCATCTGGAGCTCATCATAGCCATAGATCTGTGTGAGGACCGAAAAGGGCATTTTAGGGACCACACACCACCTCCTAGAAGGATCGGGCCTTCATAGGGGCTCAAACAAGGTTGGAAGGCTAGGACACACCCAGGAATGGCCTGTATCAGGCACTGTGGGAACAGATCCTGCCCTGATAGAGTCTAGATGAACAAAGACATATCAGGGATCAGAGGGGCAGAGACAAGGGGCTCTGGGGGTAAGAGCAGCCTGAGGCGGGCACCTTGGCCCAACCAAAAGCTCCCTTCACCAGGTCCAGCCAGGTGCCAGCCGGAGGCCAGGGAAGCTGGAGCTGGCCAGGAGCCCAACTATGTGCTCACCGGGTAGGCAGGCAGCAGTCCTCCAGGGCCCACGAGGTACTGGTTGTGCAGCAGGGGAGGTACTCCCTGCGGCAAGTTTGGGGGTGTTTTGCCTGCAGAATGAAAAATCAAATAGAATGGAGTGGTCACCACAAAGACTGAGATTCCTTTGCTGCTTTGGGAGGAGGCAGGGTCACTGAGCTATCCCAGATGAGGCCACAGCCAAGATGGGAGGGCAGCGACTGAGAGATGCAGAGGGCCAGGCTATGAAGGAGCTTGGGGGCGAAACAGAGGGTATGTGCCACCTTATTTAGGTTGTTTCAATATCTGAGAATTCTGTGCCCAGACAGAAGCACCCTCCATCCCCCGAATCCTAAGTCACATAGCACTTAGCAAACACAAGCAAAAGAAACAATCTGCCTCCTCAGAACCGGAGAAGGGAGCCACACAGTGCCAGGAGAGGGAAAGGCTGTGTCAATGGTGGGTTGTTGCAGTTTCCACCAAAGTACAGTCTGCTTGGCCAACACAGACAGCCTAGGTCTGGTTTACAATCAACCATACCAAGTGTCCAGAAGGAGGCCATTATAGGACACCCCTGACCCCTCCAATCACTGTGTCAGTTCCACTCCAGGGCTGAAAAGAGACAGAAAAAAACTGGGGAGCTAAAAGCACAAAGATGGCAGGAATCCTGCCCAAGGGGAGTGCCACCTCCACAAGACTCAGATCCCATACCAGGGCTGGAAGGATCAGGCCTCAAGAGGGAAATGGAACACAACAAAATCTAGCAATGGCAGGGCCAAGTGAGAATATAATCTGATGCTTGTCGCTACAGTGTCCATGCCCTGGCAGCCACCTCTGGGCCCCTATCCTGGGAAGCCAAGGGTGCCCATTTGAGAGGGACAGGGGTGGGCAGGAAAGGCCTCAGGAGCACATACCTGAAGTCACCAAGGGTGCAGCCCTGGTACTGCTACTGGGCGCACTCGCAGTGGCCCCACCCAGGCAAAGGCTGTTCACTGTGTTCATGTTCGGAGGCAGGCTTGCACCGGAAGATGTGGAACTCGAGGAGGAGGCTGCTGTCATTGAGAAGTTGGCTGAGGACTGTAGTGAAGGGGTGCTCTCCACACTGGCATGCTGGCAAAACAAAAACCAGGACACATGGATCTAGAGGCAAAGGAAGAGGTACTAGGAGAGCCTGGCCTGGCACCTAGGCCTACAGTCTCAAGGTTCAATGGGCAGGTGACAATGCAAACACCAAAGGACTCTAAGAGGAGGGGAGGGGCTCAGGGATCACTGTGGCCCCTCACACAGCAGCTAGATTCAGCCATCAGGATATAACTCAAGATGATTAAAATTGAGCTCCATGACCCAAACCCTCTGGAAAAAATCCTTCAAGTTACTCATGCTTTGATATCTGAAACCCCAACATAACTTCAGATCATACATGAACAGACCATTTGAATATGGGGTGAGTATCCACCTCAGTGTGAGTATCCACTCACACAGCAGTCTGAGTGTTTTAATAATTTCCTTCTATTGGGCTTCTTAGCTGCTCTGGTCTGAAATACACAGGAGTCAGAGAGGCCCTTGCTCCAAAACCTGGTGACACCTTGTAATTCACCAGTGCCTTGTATGGCCTGCCACTGTGCCAGCTCACCAAGATCCACCCAGGGAAGAAGAGCGAGACCCTAAGTTCCAGGAATCCTGCCCAGCTGTTCAACCCAAGTAACATGGTTCCGTGAAAAGCTTCACGTGCTGAGGAGGGTAGGTGGGAGAGATACACCTGGTTGGGCAAAACAAATGCCAAAAAGGCAGGAAAAAGCTAAGAGTGAGACCAGTCTCCAAACCAGAAATAATGTAAAGTACAGAAACACAGAAACTCCTGGAGAAGTGGAAGAGTAAGAAGTCCCCAGAAGAAAGGTGAGCACCACATGCTTTGCCTCCGCCACAGACGCAAACTCTCTTGTCAAGTCTGACGTCCGCAGCCATTCCTGTATATCTGAGCACTGGCTTTAAGATCTAACATCCAAAATAGATTCACCAAAGTGAAGACAGCTGAAAACATGGTTTCCTAGGACTACCAGGGACTCCCGCTCTTTCAGCACAGATAGGATGGAACCAGACTGGAGAAGCAGCCCCACCAGGAGGCAGGGCACACGGTGTGCTGCCAGCCCAGCAACTAGGCCATGATCCTCTGTAAGGAGCCAGACTTCCTACCCGAGACCACCCGCCACAGAACCTGGAACAGCTCTGACCAACACTTCGAAGTGTAGTATGACTGGTCATGCAACCTTTCAACCTTTAACCACAGAAGAAAAAATGAACATTCTCCAACCATATAAGAGATGCTTGCTAGACAACTAGTCCCTGACTTACTGAAAGGAACAAGAGTCGCCCAGCAAGCCTTTCTTCAGCTGCCCCTGCCAGGGCTCCTGCCTCTGCCTCGGCCTCCCAGAAGTGTGAGGGCACCGAACTGCTGGCTCAGGAGGCCAACAGCACATTGAAAAAGTACATCCAATGGGGCCTGTGCAGTCAAGCTCCCCTGAATGGGCCCAGAGACGAAAGGACAGAAAAAAACCAAACAAAAAAAGCACTGAGATTTCCTTTATACTCTTAGAGTGGGAAAGCTCTAACTGAGAGACTATGAAAGAAAACACATTTATCTGAATGATTATAAATATAAATATATATATTTATAAAATGAGAAATCCAGGAAAAATATTGGCACCTTCCATCACAAAGAGCTACTAGTCTCCATAATATAGTGGGTGCCTAGAAACAGAGATCAAGGACCTAAGAGGAAAAGGAAGCAAGAACATAAATGGCTCAAAGAAAAGGAAATTGAAATAAAGTACAAATACTCCATAACATTTTGAGAAATAGGACATTTTGTTCATTGTCAGTGGGAGGTAAACAGGTTAAAATCACTATCCAGGGCAATTTGGCAACTTGTGTACAATGACAAATGCCTAGCAGTTCCACCTCCAGGATTTACCCTATAGACATAGCTGTACACATAAACATGTGTACAAGGTTCTCAAATGCAACACTCTCTGTAGTGTCAAGACTGGAAATAGTCCTCCATTCGGGACCACTTAAGTAATACAATAGAATATGAAAAAAGAACAAAAACTCCATGTTTCAGCATGGAAACATCTCTAGGATACACTGTTCAGTGGAGAAAACAGTTGAAGGCTGCTCTCTATAGAATACTTTTAGGTGATAGGATAAAGAACAAATGGGTAAGAGACAAGGGGGAAGAACAGGCAATGGAGGGGTAGGAACAAGCAGACCAGATACAGAGAACCTTTTCAGTAGGTATCTCTTTATATCTTTTAATACTAAATGTTATGAATATTCAGTTGATCCTTGAACAACACAGGTTTGAACTGCACAGATCCACTTAAATACGAGTTTTTTCCTGAACCTAACACAGCATGAAAATACAGCACTCACCGGATGTTAAAACCTGCGGGTGAAAATGGGTTCCACATACTCTGGGACCTGAATCTGCATGGATTTTGGTATACTCGGGGGTCCAGGAACCAATCTCCTGCATATACTAAGGGACTATCATATTAGCAATGTGAAAATTCTGTCACACTGACAAAGTTTGGAACTAACTGGACGAAACAATTCTGGCATGAAAGCTTGGATTCTATTACCTAGAGTTTTTTCCTGAGACAGGGAGCACAGCTACCCGTGTGTACAAGAGCTCCCCAGCACAGCCAGCTCTACGGTGCTCATCATGACCAGCCATGAAGGACAGAGGCAGGTAGAGGTGTCCACACTGTGCTCTCCTTTGAAGGTGGTGGTTTAAGTGTTTTATGACAAAAGACTATGTACGAAATTTCACTTGAAACACTAGAATTTGAAAGCTACAGCATCAACCAGATCCGAATGGAAGGACACATCTTCCCCTTTTCCACCACCTCATGTCAGGTGAGCTGATCCCTTCTTCAGAGGAAACAAATTTCACCAACTTCCTGCCTCCCCCACCCAAGGTGACTGCCTGCACCCAAATCCTTCCTCCCTGCTTGTGGACCCACCTATTCCAACCTTGCCTAAGCCTCCTGCAGCCCAGGAGCAAGGACATTTTGTTGTTTCCAGGCACCTTTCTATTCACTTAACCTTATGCTCTAGTCTCTGTTAGCTTTTCCTGAAGCACTGTCCAGTAACCCACCCCTCTCCATTTTACTACCATTCAGTCCTCAACCCACCACGATCTGGCCTAACCCCTACCGCATAAAGCCATGCTCCCTATTTCACAACCTACTGTGCCACTTCATAACCATAATCTAGGGTTATTCTTAGGCACATGAGGACACTTCCCAGCTGCCACTCCCATAGCCCTCTCCCAGCCTGGCTTCCTCCACAGCATGCTTCTGCTCTACTCTTGCCTCTGTACCCTCCATACTTCCTCCTTCCGTGTCCACCTTCCCAAAGTCTCTGCCTCAGAGCCAGGGAAGATGGCACAAGGAAAGACCAAACAGGACACCTAATGACTACTACTAAGAAGTCTGCACAATGACCAGGAGAGTGGAATACAATTACACTGCTTGGATCAACATCCAGGCCTGGCAGTATGAGAGAGATGAAGGTGCACGTACTTTCATGTTGCAAAGAACAGGTGCTCCTCACACAAGCACTGCCTTTTCCCTCCAAGTACTGTCTCTACAATGGCCATCACAAAGTGACAGAGGGAATGATGCTCTTGATTAAACTTGATCAGTTCAGTGGAACCCAAGGTGGAGTTAGCAATTGAGACTACTTTCCTCCAAATAGCATTCAAATGCCTTAACATAACAAGGCCAAGAAAATAAAACCACTGCTCCAGGATAGAAACATCTCCTATTGCGTTTAGCAAATTCCTGGGAGCAAGATCACTACATGATCACTATGTGACAGCCTTATCAATGACATATTAGGTCTACAGAAGCAATTCCTCCAAGGAGCCACCAACTTAGGAAGGTGTTCTCCATGGTGACCAGGAAATCAGAAACTCAAAGCAAATAACTCAGTCTAGCCACTTCAGCCACACAACTCTAGACCACCTTAGATACTGAAAATCAACAAACTGAAGCCTCAGCTGCATGTGATTAATCTCCAAGCTCGCTAAGCAGGGTGGTGGAGGAAATTGCGTGGACACTTACTGTGTGTGATGTGCTCGAGGAGAGTGCTCCGTGCGCAGAGGAGAGGCTGCTCTGATGACTGCAGAGGGAACTAGAAGACAAAACAGAGCACCACGTGTCTACCCAAAAAAGTCACTCCACACACATGAGTCCCTCTCAGCTCTGTGGGCTAGATTCAACCTTGTCCCTAGTTCCTAGGGAACCCCTAGCTTCAGACCCATCATTCTTTCTCACCTCGGAACCAGTGATAGGATCCTGGTGGTTAAAAATGACCTAAAGGATCATTCGCCATGAAATCTGGTACATCCTCCTAGCCTGGGAAGCCTCCACAGCCACCTTCAGTCAACTATACCCACTAGCTCTTTAGAAAAAGTAAAAACAGAATTGCACTAAGAAAACTGCCATCCTTGGAGACCCCATTAAATCTGATTGAGGGGAACAGGTCCTGTGTTCAGAGTCAGAGCCTGAACTCCCACCAAATCCAGAGTTCAAAACAAATACTTCTGCTCCTGGCTATAGAGAGATGGAGGAGAACTCTACTCAGGAGACATAGGTAACAAACACACCCATTTTCCTACACCCTGTTCTAATAACTCTTAAGCCATGACAAGTGCAAGTCAGACACTTGCCACAAATACAACATAATTCTCACTCCACCTCATAGTGACGTGGAACCAGAGCTGGGAGGACAGGTGCATGGCACCCTTCTGGGGTCCAAGAATAGTAGCAGGGAGCTACTGGCCTCACACTATTCCCGGGGGACCCAGTGTTCTATGCCAGCAAAAGCATTAAAAGCAGGCAAAGTTTTCATATCTGGTGGTTTTGAGACTCAATCTGACGAATACCTAAGCTAGAGTATTAATGCAAAAGCAAAGGACATTAAGCAAGAGCCAACAAGTGTATTTTGTTCATGGAACAACCTTCTTTAGGGGCTCCAGGACTTTGTTCCAATGTACTTTTCTGGGCCCACATTTCCCCCATACCTGCTAAGCTGGGAGAGGGGGCTGCTGGACAGGGCCCCAGTGTGCTGGGATGCAGAGGGTAGAAGCGCAGTGCAAGAGGTGGTGCTGGGCAGGGAGCCCACGGATGGGAGGGTGGAGGGAGGGTCTGTTGTCTTTGGAGCTGGAACGGATGAAGTAGCTGTAAGAAACAGATCTGTTTAGCTCCAGAACCATTCCTATCGGAAATAAGCTCAGTATCTTGTGACATGTCAGGGTTATCTGAGACATATGTAAAGTTATATACCCTGGGGAAATGCCAAGTGTGTCACCAAATAGCCCCTTCTCTGTCAGATAGGACTACCAAAAGGATGCACGCTGGTCAGCCATTCACGACTCAGGCAAAGAACAGAAAATCACACTTTCTAATTAAATCTCTCCTAGGTGTGGACATAATTCTCCCACCGAAATGAACCTGACACTTAGATGCACCCAGAAAGAAAAGAGGTGCCAAGATTTGTATGTATAATTATAGAATGAGGGAAGTTTTTCTCAAAAGACACAGCAAGGGAAAATGAAACACTGATGAGTAAGATGATGATCCAAGAGTGCAACTACCAAATCAGGCTGACACTGCCAAAGCTCATGGCCAATTTTGGGCAGGAGCAGGTTAAAAAGCTAAAATGCATACCTTGTGGAGAAATACATATGCCTTAAATCTGCAGAAAGAAAAGACACATACTTTTAAAGCACAGTGAGAATCTCCTTGATACGTGCTTGAAGAGATTAATCCCAGAGCATATAAAAGAGCTTATTAGGCTTCAGACAGGACACAGATACAATCAACCCTAGCTTGGAAAAGACTCAGTTTTCATGCTGTCCACATATAAACTCAGATATGTGCTTGGATATAAAACATCATTGTCTTTTCCAGTTAGGAAGGCAGGAGCAACCTTGACCCTCCTGCAGGATTCCCTCAGAGGCCACTGGCAAGCACTAAGAGGAAAGTGAATAGAAAACAAACATAAGCAATAACAGGATCAACACACAACTAGGTCCATTCTTACAAAGGCTTTTACATTCATGAATCGTTTTTACTATCTATTCCATGTATGAAACCTGTTCTTAGAGAAACTGGATGATACAACAGATGTTCCACACTAAAAACTAAGACCCCAAAGGGTACCTCCCTGAGCCTTGGATGACAATAACAGGTTTGCAGCAAGGCCTCCTTTTTTCTCAAAGAACAACAAATGGGGAGGGGAGGTGGAAATGGAAGAAGAGAGGATGAGAAATAAAAACTTAAATGCCTTCTATGTTTTCCAGATACTTCAATTCTACCCCCATGCCTGAACAAAAGAAACCTGCAACAACTGCTGCTAGAATGAGAAGCTCCTCGGTCATCCCAAAAAGCTCAGAGCTACCAACGTATCTCCCAAACAGCCCTCCAAAACCAAATCCTGGTGCCCCAAATCTGTCACTGCAATTCCAACTAAGGTTCACCTCTGCTGAAGTTCCATATCCACAATCCCAAATAATTCCAATTAAAAGAAATCTTTTTTGGCTCCCACACCCATTTGACATACTGAATAAAGAAAGCAAACCACTATAAACAATGACAGAAAAGCTATCCAAGCACAAGAGAAAGAAGCAAATAAAACGCATTCACCTTTTCTGCACTATCGTTAGTGATCACTGAGCTGGGGACACTGCTGAACTCATTTTTTCCCCCAAACATCCACAGCGAACATTTTATCTTTCTTCCTAAGCAACGGTCCCTTTAAGTCCTGAAGACAATGAGCATGTCTTTCCTGAACTAGGACAAGAATTTTTTTCTTTAAAAGTTCTTCATAATATTAGTGTGACAGCCTTTCCACCAACTTGGAACCCTGTGCATGTTTTAAATGCATACTCCACACTGGACAGGTGCTACAGCCTGAGTAGGGGAAGAATATGAGACTATCACCTCCTTCATGCCGTAGCTTTGACATTTCTACTAATGCTACCCTCTACCAGCTACTTACATAGGAATCTCTAATCGACCTGCTTAACCTTGACAAGGAAATAAGAGTTGGTTTCTTTTAACCAACGAAGGTGGATTCTCTCTGTTCCAATGATGCATAAGAAGCGGTTACCAGAAAACATGTAAAAGGGCTGTTTTGGAGAATTAGCCATTGGCCAATTGGTGTTATCCACATCACATTAGCTATGCCCTCTCTCTCTTTGCTTTCCACCAGCCATGGTGAGAATAGCGAACTGTTATACTTACTGTCCAGTGTCTGTTGACTTCGACCACCACCATGTCCATTCTATAAGGAACAGAAGAGAAAGAAAACCCAAAAAAATCAAATGATTACCTAGAGGACTTTCTACTGGGATTCAGTGACAAGCATATAAAATAGGGATAATCAAGGAACAATGATCTGTTTTACTCTATTTCTTAATAAAGTAGAGGCAATAAAACGAACTCTAATAAATGCCATGTAACTTACATTTTTGAAAACCAGATTTGGTATTTAGGGAAATAAGAAATAACATAGTCACAACATAAGGCTCAAATCATAAGAAGCAATAAAACAGGCCTAAAACAATTACTAAAATGTCTAAATATACAAAGAACTCAAAGTCCCATTAGTTACTACAGCATCATATCTCTTATAAGTTGTCTCCTGACCACTAAAGCAAGAAAGAAAAGGTTTCCAAATTATTTAAAAAATAAAATAATAATTCCTATACCAGGAGTTGTTATATTTTATATTACTAGCAAAATGATCCTCAGAAAAAAAGAAGTGCTTCCTTGAAACATTGCTTTTCTGATGTAGGTGGATAAAGAGTAGGTTAGGGCACTGTGGTAGCTCTAAAAAGAGCAAAAACTGCAAACAACCAGTTGAAGCTAACCATAGATATTTCAATGGAATTAACACGCAAGAAAAAAGAATCCTCATAAAAATAACTTTTGGGCCGGGCGCTGTGGCTCACGCCTGTAATCCTAGCTCTTGGGAGGCCGAGGGGCGAGTTGCTCAAGGTCAGGAGTTCAAAACCAGCCTGAGCAAGAGCGAGACCCCTCTCTACTAAATAGAAAGAAATTAATTGGCCAACTGATATATATATAAAAAATTAGCCGGGCATGGTGGCGCATGCCTGTAGTCCCAGCTACTCGGGAGGCTGAGGCAGAAGGATCACTCAAGCCCAGGAGTTTGAGGTTGCTGTGAGCTAGGCTAACCAGGCACTCACTCTAGCCTGGACAACAAAGCGAGACTCTGTCTCAAAAAAAAAAAAAAAAAAATAAAAAAATAAAAAAAAATAACTTTTGGCCGTGCGGTTGGCTCTCGCCTGTAATCCTAGCACTCTGGGAGGCTGAGGCGGGCGGATTGCTCGAGGTCAGAAGTTTGAAACCAGCCTGAGCAAGAGCGAGACTCTGTCTCTACTATAAATAGAAAGAAATTAATGTTGCCACTAATATATTAGAAAAAATTAGCTGGCAGGTGGGCATGCCTGTAGTCCCAGCTACTCGGGAGGCTGAGGCAGTAGGATTGCTTGAGCCCAGGAGTTTGAGGTTGCTGTGAGCTAGGCTGATGCCACGGCACTCACTGTGTAGCCTGGGCAACAAAGCGAGATGCTGTCTCTAAAGAAAAAAAAAAAAAAAAGAAAGAAAAGAAACTGACTTTGCCTCCACAGCATAATTAGGGGAGACATGGCATGAAGCAATCAAAAGTAGAAAGTGGGCCAGGCCTAGTGGCTCACGCCTGTAATCCCACACTCTGGGAGCCAAAGGCAGGAGGATCACTCAAGGTCAGGAGTTTGAAACCACCCTGAGCAAGAGTGAGACCCCATCTCTACTAAAAATAGAAAGAAATTAATTGGCCAACTAATATATGTATATAGAAAAAATTAGCCGGGCATGGTGGTGCGTGCCTGTAGTCCCAGCTACTCAGAAGGCTGAGGCAGTAGGGGATCACTTGAGCCCAGGAGTTTAAGGTTGCTGTGAGCTAGGCTGACGCCATGGCACTCTAGCCCAGGCAACAGAGTGGACTCTGTCTTAAAAAAAAAAAAGAAAAAGAATAAGAAAAGGAAGCTGGGTATGGTGGGCAGCTACTTGAGAGGATGAAATGGGAGGGTTGCTTGAACCCAGGGGTTCAAGATCAGCCTGGGTGGTATAATGAAACTGTCTCTACAAAAAATAATAGGAAAGGAAAAAAATATGACAAACAGATCTGGCTTCTTTACCTATAATGGGATATTGTTAACTAAAGCTGGGTGGAAAATACGTAATTTTAACACAATAACATCTAATGGTGGTCCAGCAACAAATACAGTCACGGAAAATGAGTCAATTACGGGAGAGAGGAGTTCAGGAAATACTCAGAGAGGTGGGCAGGGTCAAATCATGTAAAAATACCCAGTACCACAGCCAAAATGCATACGCTACACTGAGGCCTGGATTTCTCCACAAAGTCCGTGTGCCTGTGGATCCATCCACATCCCTCTGAGTGCACAGGTGCTACTATAGAGAAGCCCACTATATCCACACACAAGGAATTACAAGGACTCCACTGGAAAAATCAGCCAATTTCTAAAGTAAACTCTTATCCAAAAAGCATAATTTACCAAACTAAACACGAACTTCCAAATAAGGTATCCTGAGAGAAGAAAACTGAAACACCATTTTACCATGATGGTTCCTGGAGCTGACTCTGATGGACTCGGAGGGCTTTGGTATGCGATCCTGTTATGTACAGAACTTGGGTCATAGGAGGAAGATGTCGTTACTGGACTAGTGGAGCTGAGGGATGAGCTGGTCAGACTGGAGGAGGTAATGACTGAAGTTGTATAGGTGGAGCTCTGCACTGCGCTAGTCACTGGTAAAGAGGTATTCAAAGGCTCACTAAAAAAAGAATAAAAGGTTATTAGACATAAATTTATGTTACTTTACATAGCTTCATGAAACAGAACTAGGTCATCAATTTATTGTCATATGCTTTATTTATTGTTTATTCTAAGCACTGACTATGCAGCGCAAGGTCATTTTATTTACTTATTTATTTATCGAGACAGGCTTACTCTGTCACTCAGGCTAGAGTGCAGTGGCATCATAATTGCTCACTGCAACCTCAAACTCCTGAGCTCGAGTGATCCTCCTACCTTAGCCTCCCAAGTAGCAGGGACTACAGACACACACCACTATGCCTGGCTAATTTTTCTATTTTTTTGTAGAGACCATCTCACTCTTGCTCAGGCTGGTATCATGTTATATATTAAATAAGCATGTAACTACACATTTACATTCCTCCATTCTTTATTAAAAGAAGGGCAATTCCCATCCACTCCACAAAATGAGACTCACCTAATTTAATTGTCAGCCAGAAGGATATCTTTAAGAATACTTAACTCTTTGCACTCGGATGTCGAGTGTGACTTGACACGGTTAGCAAAAATTATAGAGATTAAAATTACTGGCCCGGTGGGGTGGCTCACGCCTGTAATCCTAGCACTCTGGGAGGCCAAGGCAGGCGGATTGCTTGAGGTCAGGAGTTCGAAACCAGCCTGAGCAAGAGCGAGAACCCGTCTTTACTATAAATAGAAATTATTTGGCCAACTAATATATATAGAGAAAAAATTAGCTGGGCATGGTGGCGCATGCCTATAGTCCCAGCTACTTGAGCCCAGGAGTTTGAGGTTGCTATGAGCTAGGCTGACGCCACAGCACTCACTCTAGCCTGGGCAACAAAATGAGACTGTCTCAAAAAAAAAAAAAAAAATCTTCAAGGAATCCAGGTGTACAAGACCAACTTTAAAACGAAAATGCAGCCAGGCATGGTTGCTTGAGGCCAGCAGTTTCAGACCAGCCTGAGAAAGAGAGACTCAAGGTCTGGAATTCAACAGTGGTGATACCTGCACAAATCTATTACCACAGGATATATTCTCTCCACCATTTCTTAGGCTGATTTTTTAAGGTTGTTGGTTTTTGGGATTTTTTTGGTAACGAAGAACTAAATTCAGTCAAAACCAGAGGAGTGGGAAGTTATCTACCTTAAAGCCTTAGAATACAAGCTGATGGGAATCTGATTACTATGTTCACTGGTTGGAGTGGATCCAAATTCAGAGAGAGAGGGTTCTGATCCAAATTCCAGAGCTCCAAACTGAACATCTAATCCTGTGACATCTGCTGAACCAGGCATTTCCACTGCAGAAACTGGGATCTGAAAAAGCAAAGCTGTCATGTCAGAACAGAGATCAGGGACTCCAAGTCACAGAGATCAGGGACTCCTATAAACAGAGCCAAACAAGCAACTACGTTCCCCAGGCAACACTGGCAGGAACAAGGAGTGAGAGACAGAAGGGAAGAAAAAAGGAGTAAGACTTTTTAAAAAAGAGAGTAAAGGGAAAACAGCAAAGTTAAAGTTAAAAGTTAACAGAGGGGCCAGGCGTGGTGGCTCACGCCTGTAATCCTAGCACTCTGGGAGGCCAAGGCGGGCAGACTGCTTGAAGTCAGGAGTTCGAAACCAGCCTGAGCAAGAGCAAGACCCTGTCTCTAGTAAAAATACAAAGAAATTGATTGACCACCTAAAATATATAATATATATATATACACAAAAAAAAAAATTAGCCGGGCATGGTGGCGCATGCCTGTAGTCCCAGCTACTCAGGAGGCTGAGGCAGTAGGATCACCTGAGCCCAGGAGACTGAGGTTGCTGTGAGCTAGGCTGATGCCAAGGCACTCTAGCCTGGGCAACAGAGTGAGACTCTGTCTCAAAAGAAAAAAACAAAGTTAACAGAGGAATGGTCAGTGTTAATCTCACCACCTGCTTCTTAGAGCACTAGGGACAGAACTGTGATGGCGAGTGGGTGATGAAGGAGTGACTGGTCTATTTATAGGGATATACCAAGAGGAAAGCATAACCTGGTCAAGGAGCCACGCTTTCTCCAACTTTAGGATACAACCAAATATATAAGAACAGATTCTCTGAGCCAGATCCTCAAATCTGTATTTGAATTAAGGTTTTTGACTCTCAGCACAAATCAATTCTAATATTAGTCCAGTCACTCAGAAATGGCCAAATCCTCATAAAGTATTAATAAGCTATGTTCTTAAAAAATACTGCATCACAGTTTCTGAGACTTAGTATCTCAAGACTTGAGCTGCTAAAATAAATCCACCTTGGGGACCATGACTTCATGTTGGAATGCCCACCTTAGATGCTGGAGGTATCCGCCGCTTAGAAAGTTTGATGTGCTTAGGCTGTGGTGGGTGGGCAGACACAGTGATATTTTCCATGGCCATGCTGGGAAGCTGCATAAGTTTGTTCACAGTGGATGTTCTGTCTCCAGGCGCTGATTCTTGGAGTTTTGCCTGGGAAGAAAAGGACTCCAAACCAGGAGGAGGTACAGTGACTGGCTGGGTCTGGTGCTGCTGTCGCTGGCTCAACTGGCTAAGAACTGGGGACGGCTCAGGCTGAGATTTGAAGTCTATGAAATATGCAACCAAAAAAAAAGTAAGCAACAATTAATTGTTTGGAAACAAGGGCTTGAAAGTTCCTCTTCCACTAACACTGATCATGTTGGGGCCAATCACCTTCAGTTTCTCCAAAATCACTATCTAAATTTCTTAAGTGACATACATTAAAAAAAAAAAAGATAATATCTGATATGAGAATATGATAAAGGGAAAAGGATGCCCCAATAGGTCTATGCCTTGTTTGCTATGAAGAGAGGTGATGTTGTATGTGCTAAAGCCAATGGGGTGGGAAGCACAGTATTGGGGTGCTATACACACCTGGCTGTTAGCAAACAGAAGTATATTTTTATTATTTTATGCATTTTTATACATAATTAAGAAATGAGATGTTACAAAATCCAAAAAGTACAAAAATGTGTATGAAGAATATAAATCACCCTTCAACGCATCTCTATACCTGTTCCAGAGGCAAACAATGTATAGTTTCTTGTGTATCTTCAGAGATACTGTAGCAAAATACGGACATTATATATACAAACACACACACACACACACACTATATACTTTACTTTCCAACAAACCACTTAATTTTCAAAGACTGTTCCACATTAACATGCGAAGAGTTACTTCACACTCATCTTTATGACTACATAGAAATTGAGTGTACATAGCTATCATTTTATAAAACCAATACTATATTAATGGACTTGTAGGTTTTCTAATCTCTTGCTATACAAAAATGTGGTGAAGAATGTATTTGTATGTAAGACATTTTGTTCAAGTGCAAATAACATCTGTAGTGTCTATCACTTGCTAGGATAGAGCTGCTGGTTCACAGGGTAAATAAATATATTCAAAATTTTGACAATACTATAAAAATCGCTATCCAGATAGAACACATCCTATTTAACATGCTCTAATATCAAACTTTATCTTTCCTTGATTGGTAAAAAATGGTATAAAAGAAATGCAATGTAAAAATTGTGCTTAAGCATCATTTCTTATACTTGTGTGCTTTTCTTATGGATTTTATTCATACCTCTGTGGTCATTTTTTTAACCTGGTTGTTGATCTGCTTTCTGTTTAGTTACTCCTTTTATGCTAAGGAAATTAGTTCTTATGTCTATGATACAATTTTCTAAATTTTTTCATTGTCTGCATTTTGATTTGGTTATGGCATTTTCTGTCATACCTAGAAAGGACCTATTCACACAGAATATATAAAAATTCTCAGGCCGGGCGTGGTGGCTCACGCCTGTAATCCTAGCACTTTGGGAGGCCGAGGCGGGCGGATTGCTCAAGGTCAGGAGTTCGAAACCAGCCTGAGCGAGACCCCGTCTCTACCAAAAATAGAAAGAAATTAATTGACCAAGTAAAAAATATATATATACAAAAAATTAGCCGGGCATGGTGGCGCATGCCTGTAGTCCCAGCTACTCGGGAGGCTGAGGCAGTAGGATCGCTGAGCCCCGGAGATTGAGGTTGCTGTGAGCCAGGCTGACGCCACGGCACTCACTCTAGCCTGGGCAACAAAGTGAGACTCTGTCTCAAAAAAAAAAAAAAAAAAAAATTCTCCTAGGTTTTTCTACTACTGTTCTAAATTCACTTTTTATGTTTAACTATTTGGCATTTTGGCACTGGGATACAACTTTATTTTCCAACCATATATCCAACTGCAGTGAACCATTTTCTAACCACTAATTTGAACACTCACCTATGATAGGACAAAAGTCCTACAACAGGACAGGGCCAGATAGTATGTATTTTAGCCTGTGAAGGCCACCTGTAGTCAACTCTGCCTTGGCAGACTGAATGTAGCCAGACTTTGGCCTCTCTGGCTGAATTACAATAGAACTTAATTTATAAAAAACAGGCAGCAGATCCAGTTTAGATAAGTCCATTTTTGAACTTTATTAGAGGCATGTACCCATAAAGATAGCCTTCATAAAGAATATGGGAATAGGGCCAGGCGCAGTGGCTCACATCTATAATCCAAGCACTCTGGGAGCCCAAGGCAGGAGGATCACTCAAGATTAGGAGTTCAAAACCAGCCTGAGCAAGAGCAAGACCCTGTCTCTACTACAAATAGACAGAAATTAGCTGGACAACTAAATATATATAGAAAAAATTAGCCGGGCATGGTGGCACATGCCTATAGTCCCAGCTACTCAGGAGGCTGAGGTAGAAGGATTGCTTGAGCCCAGGAGTTTTGAGGTTGCTGTGAGCTAGGCTGATGCCATGGCACTCTAGCCCGGGAAAGAGTGAGATTCTGTTTCCAAAAAAAAAAGAATATGGGAATAGCATGCTTATATCTAAAAATGCCTATCAATCATTAGTAAATGAAGAATAAATTAAGATAGGGGGCCTACAACTGCTATCAAAATGACCTGTTTAAAGTTTGGACCATGTGTTGATCCATTATTCACAAACAGTGCCAAATCACTAACCAGTAAGAGTAGCTCACTGTGCCTAGAGTGTCTAGACAAAAAATATGGTTTTTGCTGAAAATCTGCTTTTCAACCAGCCTGGGCAATATAGCAAGACCCCAGTCTCTACAAAAACAAAAACCTTGGGCACTAATACTAATGACTTTCCTTGGCACCTCAAAATAGCAGTCTCAGGTACATCCAAGACAGTAATACATTTTATTGAACAAAAAACTTGCTTTCCTGTCTTGAAAAATGTGCTGAACATAAAACCAGCCCACACAACCAAGTCTATGATTAATTTGAATTTCTATTCCTTAATACACAGTGGCATATGAGCACTGGTACGGGATGGTGGTTTAATGTCATAATTTATGTGAGAGTTTAGTTTAGAAAACATCTACCTTAGATATGGTGCCTTTAAAATACAAACAACAGAAGGTAAAGCTTCATCAAATCATGGTGGATACATGCAAATGTTAGAATAAGATAGGATCACAGAAGGTGTGATTTAAAATATTGTCTACATTCCACCTGCTGTCACAACCCTATTCTAATATAGCTCAGAAAATTCTGTTGATGCATTTACTCAAAGTGTTTGATACTCATAACTGCCTTCTTCTACCATGCTTTTGTACATCTAGCCAAGGCATATACTACTACTGCTTTTACTGCTAAGGTCACCACGAAGAAATAAGTGCAGGTTACACAATAAAAGGAAGACATTTAATTTAGAAACTCTGTGAGAGTTTTAGTAAGAAAAAATATCTTTAAGGCCAGGCATAGTGGCTAACAACCTGTAATCTTAGCACTCTGGGAGTGCCGAGGCAGGAGGATCACCTGAGGGTAGGAGTTCAAGACCAGCCTGGGCAAGAGTGAGACCCCATCTCTACTAAAAATAGAAAAAATTAGCCGGGTGCATGTTTGTAGTCCCAGCTACTCAGCAGGCTAAGGCAAGAGGATCGCTTGAGCCCAGAAGTTTGAGGTTGCTGTGAGCTAGGCTGATGCCACAGCACTATAGCCTAGGCAACAGGGTAAGACTCTGTCTCAAAGAATAAACAAACATCTTTGTGGTCAGGGTCCACATCTCAATCTCAGCTTCTTTGGATTTGCATGGTCCCAGCACTGTGGTCAAGTTCACAAGTCAACATATTTTGCTTATGTTTAACATGCTCTCTACAGGAGCAAACCAGCACCGAAAATGTATACTTACCAAAATGAGTGAGAACTGAGGACTGGGATGCTGAGGGCTTGAGGTCCCAAGTAGTAGTAGTAGTTATAGGGGGACTCGTACTATTCTGCTGTGAACTTGGGGTAGTAGTAAATTGGCTCAAACTTGGGGCTTTCAACTGGTCCAAAATCTGGGAACTGGTGATGTTTGCCATTTTTGATGGCGTGAGCTCTCCGAATCCTGATCCAAGTACAGATGACTTTAAAGGGAAATAAAAGAACAAATCCTCAGCAATACAGAATTTCTACCCCAGGCTTTAAAACACACCAAGTGTTTTCACAAGTATTTTAAAATCTATACCTGAGAACATATGAATTAGTAAGATTGTCCTTAGAAATACTATATGAAAATATCACTGTGTGTTAAGAACTGACTAAATAAATCCACCAATATTTCTGGATTCTGACATAAGAGATTAATGGGAAGGGTGAATATTTGCCATGAATTGATTTTTTTTTTAAAAGTGGTTATCAGTGACTAATGCCTGTAATCCCAGTATTTTGAGAGGACGAGAAGAGAAGATTACTTGATGCCAGGAGTTCATCATTAGCCTGGCAACATGGTGAGAATTCACCTCTACAAAAAATAAAAAAGAATCAGCCAGACTTGGTGGCATGGGCCTGCAGTAGTATCAGCTACTTGGGAGGCTGAGCCAGGACAATTGCCTGAGCCCAGCAATTCAAGGGTACAGGAAGCTATGATTGCACCACTATACTCCAGCCTGGGCAAGACCAGAAGACCCTGTTTAAAAAAAAAAAAAAGTGATGTCACAAGGTCACAATTAAATACTACTCCTGTCTCAGCCTCCCATGTAGCTGGGACTACAGGTGCATGCCACTGAGCCTGGCTCCTTTTCCTATTTTTAGGAGAGACAGGGTCTTGCTCTTGCTCAGGCTGTAAATATTACTTTTTTTTTTTTAAACTAAAGAGCAATATTATTTAGTAAATGAAAAAATATGTTTAACAGTAAAACCACAATATTCATCTGTGAATCACAATAATCATCTTTAATGATTAGAATACATTTGGTCACAGAACAGATCAGCTATGAGGTCACCCTGACAGATCAAACACAGATCACAAAACTTAAGCAGTTAATATTCCAAAATCCAACACTGAAATACACAGGCATCTGAGGTTGAGCAAATATCCTGGACACTATTGTGTTCAAGTTGTTTAGATTACTAAGAACACTAAACACACTCCCAAAAAAAGTACACTAAAAACAATGTCGCTCCTTCCCCATCTGTCTTGTCAGGTCATATATATCAAGATCCAAAGAGAGGGCTGAGCGTGGTGGCTCACGCCTGTAATCCTAGCACTCTGGGAGGCTGAGGAGGACAGATTGCTCGAGGTCAGGAGTTCGAAACCAGCCTGAGCAAGAGTGAGACCCCGTCTCTACTAAAAATAGAAAGAAATTAATTGGCCAACTAAAAACATATATATATAAAAAAAAGATTAGCCGGGCATGGTGGCGCATGCCTGTAGTCCCAGCTACTCAGAAGGCTGAGGCAAGAGGATCACTTGAGCCCAGCAGTTTGAGGTTGCTGTGAGCTAAGCTGACGCCATGGCACTCTAGACCGGGCAACTGAGTGAGACTCTTGTCTCACTCAGTTTCTCAAAAAAAAACAAAAAAAATCCAAAGAGAATGAAAACCTATGACTACAAAATACACTGCAAGATCAACTGCACTTTTACATATAAATATCATTCAAGATTCGTGCTTTGTCAAATTAACATTTCAAATCCATCTAAGGTAAAAAAACAAAAATACGTTGCATTCCCCCAAAAGGACAGATCAAATAAGTTGAAATCTGTCATCAATATTCATAAACAGGGAATGTCACAGTTTTTGTAAGGAAATGTAAAATTTTACCATTGCTCCACATTCCTTGTTCATGCTAACCATTACATCTCTCTTACATTACTACAAATTTGCCAATGCCCAGGTGAAGCCCACATGTTCAGTGAAGGCTTCCCACATGATGCCTTTCTTCTTCCTCTCTTTTGCTGAGATTATGCATCAGCTAGTTTGTCAAAGGTACTATTTGTGTGCTTTAAAACACAATGAAATCACTGAGTCAATGACTAGTCCCTTGCCCTAGGTAACACTTACCACAGGGCCTCTCAAGTCCACCTGCAACTTTAAATCCATGGGTGGACTTTTAACATGTGTACATTAATAGACACTTGGGCATGCATATACATATAAACAAACATACACATTAACCAAATCTCAAAGATACCAACTTGTTTTGTCTTGTATGGCCCCTGGCATTGTTATCATCATCATGGTTATTGATGCTATTAATTAATTTCCCCAATGATTGTGAAGGGCAGTAGGACTGAGAACCACTGCTCTAATACAATGCTAAATAAGCAATTCTTACACTCCACTTTCTCAAAGTGTTTGTCATGACACAAAGCAACACACCTGAAGATCAACATAAAACTTCAAGTCCTGCCTATTAACATAGTGGCCAGGCAAAGATTTCAGCAAGTCAGCAAGGATATGGCATCATTAAACCAACAGCAGATGAAAAGAAAGAGGAGGTGCATGGTGATGTCTAGGGAGCCAAAGGTAGATAAACAGAAAGAAAGGGAAGGAAGGAGGAGAAGGAAGGGAAGGAGGGGAAGGAAGGAAGGGAAGGAAGGAGGGGAAAGAAGGTAGGGAAGGAGGGGAAGGGAAGGTAGGGAAGGAGGGGAAGGAAGGAAGGGAAGGAGGGAAGGAAGGGAATGGAAGGGAAGGAGGGAAAGGAAGGAAAGAGGGGAAGGAAGGGAGGGGAAAGGTCATTGGTGGTTCAATGAAAATTGGGGGATTTTAATAGGACTTCTCAAAAGAGAGATGGCGCCAAGTCCCACTACAAACACTGACAACATCTTGTATATCAGTGATACTAAAAGTGCCAAGTCCCCAAGGCCACAGCATGATATGATTATGCAGAGTACAAGATAACAATGAGAAAAGCCTGCATATTCAATTCTCAATTTTATCAGCATCCCAGAAATGATCTATCCCAGGCAGAGGAGAAAATTCTGTTTCTCACCAATAGATTTCAGGTAAATCACAGCAAACAATGACCTAAAATAATGATCACTAGTGAAAGCTGTAGGTCTGTGTTCATAGTTCACTCTTCCCATGGCAGGCTCAGAACTTCCTATCCTTGCACCAGGCCTTCAGTTTCCCATTCTGCAGCAACATTCTTTCACAAACTCTGCTTTAAGCCTCCACTCCCAGCAGCCTATCTTCATATCCTTCACTAACAGTTCCTGGAGTTCTCTCTGATGGGAGCTTAACTCTCATAGGAAGTCAGAGTTGTACATGCAACACTGTGACACAGTTTCAATGAAAACACATCCAAACTCCAAGGGCCTCTATGATAAAGGATGGCACTTTAAGAAACCATAGCTTTAGTTTATAGAAAAAAAAATGCAAATAATATAAGCACATAGGCAGACAGAACTGTTTTGCATAACTTTATGGCAAGCCAATAGTTAACAATTGCATTGAAGTAAACTGGAAAACAAATAAGAAATCTAAGTATAGATACAAACTTTAAAATAAAATCCAAAAACAATACCATGTATAAGAAGGAAAGGATGCTTATGGCTGACAGAGTGATCATTAGTTGAAAAGAACATATCTGGCTGGGTGCGGTGGCTCACGCCTGTAATCCTAGCTCTCTGGGAGGCTGAGGCCGGTGGATTGCTCAAGGTCAGGAGTTGAAGAACAGCCTAAGCAAGAGCGAGACCCCGTCTCTACTATAAATAGAAAGAAATTAATTGGCCAACAAATATATATAGGAAAAATTAGCCGGGCATGGTGGCACATGCCTGTAGTCCCAGCTACTCGGGAGGCTGAGGCAGGATCGCTTGAGCTCAGGAGATTGAGGTTGCTGTGAGCTAGACTGACGCCACGGTACTCACTCTAGCCTGGGCAACAGAGTGAGACTCTGTCTCGAAAGAAAGAAAGGAAAGAGAGAGAGAGAGAGAGAGAGAGAGAGAAAGAGAGAGAGAAACAGAGAAAGAGAAACAGAGAAAGAGAGAAACAGAGAAAGAGAGAGAGAGAGAGAGAAAGAGAAACAGAGAAAGAAAGAGAGAGAGAAAGAGGGAAAGAGAGAGAGAAAGAGGGAAAGAGAGAGAGGAAGAAAGAGAGAGAGAAAGAGAGAGAAAGAAAGAAAGAGAGAAAGAGAGAGAGAAAGAAAGAGAGAGAGAAAGAAAGAAAGAGAGAAAGAGAGAGAGAGAGAAAGAAAGAAAAAGAGAGAGAGAGAAAGAAAGAAAGAGAGAAAGAAAAAGAGAGAGAAAGAAAGAGAGAAAGAAAGAAAGAAAGAAAGAACGAACATATCATAAAGAAAAGTTTTCATATTCGTCCAGGAAAACTCAGAGTAGTTAAATTCCACATGGAGTCAATCAGATATGTGCTTGGAAATTATCACATCATTGTTTTCTGGACTGAAATAGACTGCAGAAATTTTTACATTTAGAAAGAAACTGTAAGGCATGTGTCATATTCTACAAAATGTTTGCTGATTGGTATATTCCTTAAAATCTCATACTGAACTTAAAAGTGAGTTACCAGGCTCTGAGGAGGATAGGAGTTGATAACAGCGGAGCTTCGGGTCCCTGGTGCTATCTGATTATTGTGGTGCGAATTTGTGAAGACAAGGGCTTGGCCAAAGCCCTGCTGTTGGGAAGTTTCGAAGGAGTTGACGCCTGAGGCTTGACCAGGAGGAACAGACTTCTGGAGCAAGGCTACCACATCAATGCTAAGCAAAAAAAAAAAGCAAATGAGGAACGAGTCAAAAGCAAATCTTACCAACAAATGAATTTGAGAAGTGAATCAAATAAATTGACACTAAAAATCATCTAAGTGAGGAGAACCTTTGGATAATAGGGTTTCAGGAAGCAAAAGAGAGGGCATCAATCAAAAAACAAAGTATATGAAGCTACAAAGAGTGAAGCAGGGGCCGGCCCCGTGGCTCACGCTGTAACCGCACTCATGGGAGGCCGAGCGGCGGATTGCTCAAGGTCGCGAAATTGAAACCAGCCGAGCAAGACCCGTTCTACAAAAATAGAAATATTAATTGACCAACTAAAAATAATATACAAAAATTAGCCGGGCATGGTGCGCATCTGTTTAGTCCAGCACTCGGAGGCTGAGGGCAGAAGGATCGCTGAGCCCCGGGAGATTGAGTTGCTGTGAGCCAGGCTGACGCCACGGCACTCACTCTAGCCTGGGCAACAAAGTGAGACTCTGTCTCAAAAAAAAAAAAAAAAAAAAAGAGTGAAGCAGGGCTTTGCAGAGAAGAGAAATGAAAAGGGGTAATGAGAAATTTTCACAGAAATGACATGAAGACTGATTAGAAAACCTGGAGAAATAAAGTAAACTTAAATAATTTGCTAGAGTTTGGCTCATTTTGTTTAGAATATTTTATCCTATTTATTACTTGGAACCAGAGTTTCTAGTAGATCCATATTTTAGGGAATGAAGATCTCAGCCAAGGTAAACAATTCAATAAGTTTCGCATTTATCTTAAATATTCATACATGTTCTGTATCCCATCCCATAAATTTATGTTTATGTATGTATACACCAAATAATTTCCTATCTTAAATACTCAGGAATAGATTCACATTTATGAATATATAAATATGCTACTATAATAATAATATGTGTATATTAACAAATACACCATTTAGCTAGAACTCTTTTAATGTCCCCAGAAGGACATTAAATTCCAATTTGAGAAGCATGAACTAAAACCTGAAAGCGTAAGGAATAGATCATGCTCCAGGTAAAGACTACCTGAAATGAATGAGCTTCTAACTTCCAATACAAACTCTTCTCTAAACTTACCTAGTATGGTAGAATAGCCAGAAAGATACATGGAATTTCCGAACATGATAATACACTCCATTAAACAGATTCAAAGGCCAGTTCCCATTAGTTCAACTAACTGAAACTTTCACCATGAGAATGAGATAGGCAGATTCTAGGAGAATTCCAGACTCACTTCTGATACACAGCAAACTTCCTAGCCCTGAGTTAATCTCCTTAAATACTGCCACTCTCACACTCCCATAGTCAAAGTTGAATTTCCAGACTAGTATTTTGGACTCCAAGATAACGTTCTAGTTTATAATATCCTAATGTCAGGAATACAAATCCAGGGTAGCTGTATTACATATGACCAATCACAAATGTTTATTACTACCAATAGGCCAGGCACGGTGGCTCACGCCTGTAATCCTAGCACTCTGGGAGGCACTTTAAAAAAAAAAAAAAAAAAAAAAAAAGGTCTTGCTCAATCCAGCCCCTGTCTATCTTCACACCTTACCATGAAATAACTGCGTCTAACTATTACATATGCACGATTCTTCAACAAAACACAATTATTTTGTTTCATGTTCATGCTGTTCACAATGCTCGAAATGCTTTCTTTTTTTTTTTTTTTTTTTTTTTTTTGAGACAGAGTCTCACTTTCTTGCCCAGGCTAGAGCAAGTGCCGTGGTGTCAGCCTAGCTCACAGAACCTCAAACTCCTGGGCTCAAGCAATCCTCCTGACTTCAGGCCTCCAAGTGCTGGAATACAGGCATGGCTGCCATGCCTGGCTTAATTTTTGTTATTATTATTTAGTTGGCCAATTAATCTCTTTCATATTTTATAGTTAGAGACGGGTCTCACTTGCTCAGGCTGAGTTTCGGAAACTCCTGACCTGGATCAATCACACCCGCCTCAGCTTCCCAGAGTGCTAGGATTTACCAGGCGTTTGGGAGCCCACTCGTTGCCGGGCCTATTGGTAGTATAAAACATTTGTGATTGGTCATATGTATACAGCTACCCTGGATTTGTATATTCTGACATTAGGGATATTATAACACTAGAACCGTTATCTTGGAGCAAATACAGTTGAATTCCACTGAACTATGGAGTGTAGAGTGGCAGTATTTAAGGAGATTAACTCAGGGCTAGGAAGTTTGCTGTGTATCAAAGTGAGTCTGGAATTCTCCTAGATCTGCCCTATCTCATTCTCATGGTGAAAGTTTCAGTTAGTTTGAACCTAATGGGAACGCCTGTTGAATCTTTTAATAGGTGTTTATCATGTTCGGAAATTCCATGTTATCTTTCTTGCTATTCTACCCATACTAGTAAGTTAGAGAGGATGTTGTTGAAGTTAGAGCTCTTCATTTAGGTAGGCTTTACCTGGAGCATGTCTATTCCTTAACGCTTCAGGTTTTGTTCATGCTTAAATTGAATTTTAATGTCTTCTTGGAACATTAAAAGAGTTCTGCTAAATGGTGTATTGTTTAATATACACATATTATTTATGTATAGTAGCATATTATAGTATTCATAAATGTGATCTATTCCTGAGTATATAAGATAGAAATTATTTGGGTAATACATTACATAAACTAATTTATTGGTGGATACAGACATGTATGATATTTAAAGGATAAATGCGAAACTTATTGAATTGGTTTACCTTGGCTGAGATCTTCATTCCCTAAAATATGATCTACTAGAACTCTTGGTTCCAAAGTAATAAATAGGATAATATTCTAACACAAAATGAGCCAACTCTAGCCAAAATTATTAGTTTACTTTATTTCTCCAGGTTTTCTAATCAGTCTTCAATGTCATTATTGTGAAATTCTCATTACCCTTTTCATTTCTCTTTCGCAACCTGCCGTTTCACTCTTTTTTTTTTTTTGTTTTTTTGAGACAGAGTCTCGATTTGTTGCCAGGCTATAGAGGAGTGCCGTGCGTCGCTGGTCACAGCAACTCAATCTCCGGGGCTCAGCGATCCTTACTTGCCTCGCCTCCGAGTGCTGGGACTACAAAGCAAGCGCCACCATGCCCGGCTAATTTTTGTATATATTTTTAGTTGGTCAATTAATATTGTCTATTTTTGTAAGACGGGGTCTTGCTCAGGCTGGTTTCGAACCTTGGACCTTGAGCAATCCGCCCGCTTTCGGCCTTCCCAGAGTGCTAGGATTACAGGCGTGAGCCACCGGGCGGTCCCCTGCTTCACCTCTTTGTAGCATTCATATACTTTGTTTTCTGGATTATGCCCCTCTCTTTTGGCTCTTGAAACCCTATTATCCAAGTGTTCGTCCTCACTTAGATGATTTTTAGTTTCAATTTATTTGATCATTTCTCAATTCATTTGTTTGTAAGATTGCTTTTGACTCGTCCTCATTTGCTTTTTTTTTCTTTCCTTGCATTGGATGTGGTGCTATGCTTTCCGAAGTCTGTTCCTTCCTGTCAGCCTCATGCGGGTAACTCCTTCGGAACTTCCAAACAGGCAGGGCTTTGCAAGCCCTTGTCTTCCACAAATTCGCACCACCCAAACATCAGTATAGCACCAAGGGACCGAAGCTCCGCTGTTATCAACTCCTATCTCCCTCAGAGCCTGGTAATCACTTTAAGGTTCAGTTATTGAGATTTTAAGGATATACAATCAGGCAAAACATTTGTAGAATTATGACCACTGGCCTTTACAGTTCTTTCTAAAAATGTAAAAATTTCTGCAGTCTATTTCAGTTCCAGAACAATGATGTGATATTTTCCCAGCACATATCTGATTGACCTCATGTGGAATTTAACTACTCTTGAGTATTTCGCTGGACGAATATGAAATTTTCTTTATTGATATGTTCGTTCTTTTTTTCTTTCTTTCTTTCTTTTTTCTTTCTTTCTCTTTCTTTCTTTCTTTCTTCTTTCTCTTCTTTCTTTCTTCTTTCTTTCTCTTCTTCTCTCTCTCTCTCTCTTTCTCTGTCTTTCTCTCTCTCTTTCTTTTCTTCTCTCTTTCTTTTCTTCTCTCTTTCTTTTCTTCTCTCTTTCTTTTCTTCTCTCTTTCTTTTCTTCTCTCTTTCTTTTCTTCTCTCTTTCTTTTCTTCTCTCTTTCTCTTTCTTCTTCTGTCTCTTCTTTCTTTCTCTTTCTTTCTTTCTTTCTCTTCTTCTCTTTCTTCTCTCTCTCTCTTTTCTCTTTCTTTCTTTCTCCTCTCTCTTTCTTCTTTCTTTCTCTCTCTCTTCTCTTTCTTCTCTCTCTTTCTTCCTTCTTCTTTCCTCTTTCTCTCTCTCTTCTCTTTCCTTTCTTTTTTTCTTTCTCTTCTTCTCTCTTTCTTCTCTCTTTTCTCCTGCTCTTTCTTTCTCTGTTCTCCTCTTTCCTGTTCTCTCTCTTTTTCCTTCTCTCTTTCTCCTCTCTCCCTTCTCTCTCTTTCTTTCTCGTTCGAGGCAGGAGTCTCACTCTGTTGCCCAGGCTAGGAGTGAGTACCTGCGTCAGTCTGCATCACAGCAACTCCAAATCTCCTGAGCTCAAGCGATCCTTGTCCTCAGCCTCCCGAGTAGCTGGGACTACAGGATGTTTGCACCATGCCCGCTAATTTTTTATATATATTTGTTTGGCCAATTAATTTCTTTCTATTTATAGTAAGACGCGGTTCTCCGCTCTTGGCTTAGGCTGTTTCTTCAATCCTGACTTGGACCAATCCACGCCTCAGCCTCCGAAGCTAGATTGAGCATGGGTGAGCCACCGCACCCAGCCAGATATGTTTTTCAACTAATGATCCACTCTGTTCAGCCATAGCTCCTTTCCTTCTATACCATGGTATGGTTTTTGGATTTTATTTTTAAAGTTTTTATCTATACTTAGTTTCTATTTGTTTCCAAGTTTACTTCAATGCAATTGTTAACTATTGGCCTTGCCATAAAGTTTATGCAAACAGTTTCTGTCTGCCTATTGTTTTTATTTCATCTTTT